AATTATCAATTATTTGATCCATAAATTGAATGAAAATATCAGCCTCAGAAAATAAACGAAATGCACAGTCGACATCAAGTCTTCCCAAAATTCCTTATTACGCCACTGCCCCTGGGAGGTGAGCCCCCTGGCATGTTTGCCCCCCTCCCCCCCCCCCCTAATCCCAAACTGCTTCTGGCGCGCCTGCCTTAGAGTATGTATGCAAGAGGTCCACGTTTTAAGAATTGGCTGTATAATTTTCAATTCTCAAGTTTGACACAGAAGTTCCCTAGGCTATCTGACGCCACTGGCAATACGCCAGAGAGTGTTTGCCCTCCGACATGATGGACACAAAACCCCGATATTGCTGATGCCCTAGGAATATCGCAGGGTGAGGTCTGTAGAATTCTCTAACGTAATATAGGGGGGGGGGGGTAATTGAGGCCCAGGAAATCTCTAGGACGACCCAAATATGTTTATATAATTTATTGGCTTTTTTTTAAACACCATCATGGATGTTCAGGTTTCCTGACCACCATTATACATAATGATAGTCTGAATGGATTTGTCGACCCGTAAAGCATAGGTATTGACACAAAAACATGACATCACTAGCACAGAGGTTTCCTAATTCCAGGTTCCGGCAGCCATCCTAAATTGCAAAATGGCGGTCACTTAAGGTGCGGTATCGAATATAAGGCTACTCTAATCCTGTATAATTTTTCAAAATTTTTCAAAATTCAAGAATTTCCGGGTCGCTGTAGAATTATTCGTATTGCTTTGATATTGAATAAGATCAACATTTTTAAAAGTACGGATAAACAAAACGTGGGGGAGAGACAGATAATTTCCAACAATCCACCCTTAGATCAGATATGGACCTAAAACAAGCCTCATTTTCTTCAATACACGAGTGTCAATAGTGTAAATTTAAGGAGTAGATTGTCCGAGTCTGAAACAAAATTGAATAATGTTTGAGTCGTGCGGCTTTCCAGCAATCGATTGTACACTGTTCTACTTAAGTCGAATTGTACGATTACTTTAAGAAGTTTTGGGTCAATGGTATCCCATATTTCCAAAAAACGTTAGTGGAAAATTCGTAATGAAAATCAGGTCCTGTTACCGGACAGAGTTGTACAGGAAAATTGTTGCTACATTTTCGTGTTCATAGACAGTGCATAATAAAAATGAATTTAGACAAAATATTACCATAATATTATACTGCTTTAATGCTGTATTTTACAGGAAAATGACAGAAGTGCTGTATTGTTTTCAAATGTTTTAATAACACCTACAATTTGATATTACTACTGCTAAAACACACATACACCTAATAAATATATCCCCATTGTAAAAAAAATGAAAACATAGTTGCTCACTTCCACTGATGAATCATTAAAATTTGGCGGCCATTTTTGACACTAACTTGGGTTAATCTTCCAGGTTTCCTGCCTACTTTAAAGGGACTTGGTAACATTGTTCAGATGAAAGTAAATGTTGCTAAGGTAGTGACTTCAATGCTAGATATACAATTAAAGATAATTTAAAAGTTTGAGTAAGAACAGACCATTATTAATGATAACAATTGGTAAAAACTGTTCTGATCAATTCCTTAATTATTCTAACTATATTATTACAATGTAATTACATTTTAAGTGAATGTAAATCATCATAATTAAAGCAATGAATTGGCTCTATTCACCATTCCAGACATTTAAGTGTTGAAAGATTTCTAAAAGCCTTTCTTATGCCTTATTTTCATGGAAACATGGTAGGGAGAATTTACTGTAAGAGGGTGTTGCACAGTGACGCCTTCAAAGAAAACCATCATGAATATCTTTGTGGTTTGAGAATTTTTTCAGGACCGTTGGCATGTTAGAGGGTTAGTACAGTAGAAGAAATATAATAAATAACATTTCTTACAAAAATTACGCAGTTTTTTTTATTAACCTTCAATAATGTTACCGAGTCACTTTAACACATGTCAGCTAGATCTAGTCTGAATATATTTTTAACCCTCAAACCCTGATTCCATTTTGAATTAATCAGTGACAACCATCTTGGATACAATTTTCCATAAAATGCTACTTTTTATACTTCATATTTCGTGCATCAGTGAATATTATATTTAGTGTACTTTCACATTGAAGTCCACCTAGGATTTCCAGGTTTCGATCCTTACCACCATAGCAAATTTTAAACATTAAATAGTCTAAATGGTCTCAATTGTGTTCTTTTGTATTTACAATACACTTGTCCACAGGCCACTGGGCCTTTATAGGTGGACCTCGCAAACCATTTCTATTGTAGAATTACACAAATTTCATTTACACCCAATATTTATTTCAACCAATGTTTTTTTATGTATTTTTTATTTATTTATGTATCGTGAAAAGTACCCCTTTACCGGACATTTTGGTAACATGCATGCGGTCATTCCGACCCCGGAGTGGGGGGGGGGGGGGGGTTGGCCTCGGGAACGAGAGCGTCAAAATGGATTCCTTGATTGAGTCTGATGTGCATGACCATGGCGACTTATCCATCTTATCATTTTTACACAACAAAATTAATTAGTTTTACGTAAAATGTTCACATCTGCTTCCCCTTTCATATTCTTCCCATAGAAGAAATGCTTTGTATTCAGGTCTTGTAAGGCAGGCGCGGATCCAGGGGGGAACGAGCGGGCCTTGCCCCCCCCCCCCCGCAAAAAAAAAAAAAAAAAAAAGAGAGAAGAAAGGAAAAGAAGGGAGAAAGGGAAAAAGGAGAAAAAGGGAAAGAAAGAAGAGGAAGAAGAAGAAGAAAAGAAAAGGGGAAGAAGGAGATCGGGGGACCGAAAGGGCCTCCCAGGCTGTTAACCCCCTCCCCCCCCCCCCCCCAAAAAAAAAAAAATAAGAGAGAAGGAAGAAAAGGGAAAGAAAAAGGGAAAAGAGGAGATACTGGCGTACTGATAGGGGGGGGGGCTTGGGGGAAATCATATTCAAACGTGGTTTATTTCTAATTCCACAACGGTGGATTACAAATACTGCTGAAATGACATAATTTCCGAAATTTTTCCTCACTTTTTGGTAAATTATACGTTTGTATGTGTTTGTTAAAAATGACAAATTCCTAAATTTACAACCAGGCAAAAATATGATTCTTGAGATTCCTACATGTCAGGGCGCGAGGTACGGCGGGGATCGAGAGCCTCGAGCACCTCCCCCCCCCCCCCCCCCCACTTTTCTTGAAAAAGTATTTTAAAGAGAAATGAAATAGAATGAGAGCAAGAAAGTAAGAATAGTTAACTGCCAGTGTTAACAAAATAATGAGGCATCAAAATATGCTCATCTGACCGTGATTAAATGCCTAAAACCCCTAAGCTTCCGGGGGCTTTGCCCCCTGGATTCCATTTAGGGCCCTACGGCGGACCCTTAGATGATCATCTGACGGTAATTAAATACCTAAAACCCCTGATTTTTTGGGGCTCCGCCCCCTGGACCCCACGCCAAATAGTGACTTGCCAGTGTCACAAAATAATAAGGTATACACAAAAATATGCTCATCTGACCTTAATTAAACGCCTAGAACCCCTGACCTCATGGGGCCAGCTCCGCCGCCTCGACCCCACCAGGGGCCCTAAGGCGGGCCCCTGAATGCTTATCTGACCGTAATTTATTGCCTTAAACCCCTGAGCTTGCGGGGTCGGACAAGGTATCAAGATGTGTTTATCTGACCACAGGCGCGGAGCCAGGGGGGGGGGCGGTTGGGGGCGGTCCCCCCAATCGGAAGAGGACGTAGGAAGAAAAAGGAGCAGACAAAGAACATATTTGATATTCAGACAAGGATTAAGAGTATAGAGAACGGTACAACGCTTCGTTTTCTTTCTCTAATAATATTACGTCAAAGCCTCGCGCAGGAGGGGAGGTGGGGGGGGGGGGGGACTGAATTCAGACGAGCATTCAGAGGCAAGAACGGTAATACGAATCTTTAATGATTTAATGAAACGTAAAAGCTTCTGCGCTTCGCGCGGAAAAGGGGGGAACTGAAATCAGACGAGGATAAAGAGTCGAGAACGGTACAACGAATCGTCTTCTTTCTTTAATAGTTTAATAAAACGTCAAAGCTTCCGCGCTTCGCGCAGGAGGGGGGGGGGGGAACTGAATTCAGTCGAGGATTAAGAGTCGAGAACGGTACAACGAATCGTCTTCTTTCTTTAATTGTTTAATAAAACGTCAAAGCTTCCGCGCTTCGCGCAGGAGGGGGAGGAACTGAATTTAGACAAGAATTAAGAGTCGAGAACTGTACAACGAATCGTTTTCTTTCTCTAATGATTTAATGAAACGTAAAAGCTTCCGCGCTTCGCGCGGGAGGGGGGGGGGGGGAACTGAAATCAAACGAGGATAAAGGGTCGAGAACGGTACAACGAATCGTCTTCTTTCTTTAATAGTTTAATAAAACGTCAAAGCTTTCGCGCTTCGTGCGGGAAGGGGGAAACTTTCCCTCCTCCCTGCACCCACCCCCTAGGAGGTGCTCACTACCGCCCCCCCCCCCCTAAATTAAAATCCTGCCTATATGCTTGAGAGGATAATAACCCAGGTAGCAAGGCCATGTGGGACTCACATGGGTCCCATATTCTCTAAAATGTTATCTTTATTGAGGGTGACTTGAAAAAGTTAATAACTTGGAAGGGAGGGAGTGCAACCTGCCACACACCTCAACCTCTTGGTTGCTTTGATTCATTGCCGAAAATATTTTGGCACCTATCATCCCCCCCCCCCCCCCCCCCCCAACCGAGGATACAAATCGACACCCTTGATTGTAACCATATTTTCATGTGTGTGAAACAATATGTTTTTCTTAAGTATATTTTTTGTTTCAATTTTGTTCACACTATTCAATTTCGTTGTAAATCAACCATTATGAGTTCCTGAAATTTACGTGTTGATGTTTTTAAACCGAATAAATAAATACAAATAAATAAATAAATAAATGATATGTATGTAGCTCTTTTCATTTTTTCTTTGGTTCTTGGAAGCTACCCTACCGTCGTAGAATTGCGCCATGTTTAACAAAACTGTCGTTGCCGTGCTTCCGTAATGACAACTCTTACAGGGGTAAAACACCGACTTTTAAGTTTGTAGTGACTGTTAGTATTGATTGAAGTATAATTATTTATTTAGTGATTCTTTTTTTAGCTACAGTGTTTTATGCACTCACAAAGTTTATTGTACATCTAAGATCACGATTCATTGTTGGAGCTCCGCCTCCACCAACTAGTTCCATAATGAGTTCTCTAAACATCGAGCGGGTGAAGCAGCGGGGTTCGAGGAGCTCCCCATCTACCCCCGCGGAAGGAGCCTCGAATTCTGCTGAGCTGAGCTAAGGCCTGAGGATGAGGAGCCCGATTGGGGGGGGGGGGGGGGGGGGGGAGGGTAGGTAGGGGGTAGCCTTAAGTTAGGGCTTGCCGCTTCGTCATGATTAAGTATGAAATATGATAATTGATGATCTTAGAAGCCAGACAGTCACATGATTAATTCAGATTATCAGTAGACTCTAGACTAGAGACTAGACTGTCTAGACTAGACTCTAGATCTAGGTCTAGTAACAGTTAGAGTCTAGTACAGTCTACTAGTTAGGGGTGCTGGTCCGAGAATAAGGATCGTCTTCATAAACGAGGATCGTCTTCGCGAACACGGACGCGGACGGAGGCTTCCTCAAAAATAAGGATCGTCCTAATTTTTCGCAGATGTTTCATATTTTTGATCGGCGCATTAAAGCGAAAAACGGATTCCGCAATGATTTTCTTGATGCATTTTACATTGAGTGATTAGATCTACGGTGTTTGGTGTTGGTGTGGTCTTAAGAGCTTGGAAAGGCTGCTGAACCGAGCTCCAACACCGACGGTCAGTTTAGAAGAACAATACCGATCACGCGTGCGTGCACGTTATTGCTCGCCTCAACACCAGCCTTCACAATTTTTTTTTCTTCACAATTCTTTTGTTTTTTCCTACTAATTTGTGTTCTTTATCGGATTTCATAGCACGTGAAGTAGAATATCATTTTGCATTCTATATCTTGCTTTCAGGGGATTAGATTATCTCAATCACAAGAAAGAAGGAAAAACATGAAATTTGATGTACAAAAGGCATGGAGAGTTGTCCACAGATGATGTCATCAAATTGAATACCGCCCTCTAGTGACTAGTCATTTCAAAAAGTTCTAACTTCCTTATTCCTTGCCCGATTTTGTTCAAATTTTCACTGATATTTTTCAAATATCTTAAGCTTTACAATAAAAGTAACTTGTATGAAGGTTTTGGTTCCCAGTTGCTAATTACCATATTCATGAATACCTATTAATTAGCATATCCCCTGATATGAACAAAATGCCATTTGTTTGGGTGTGTACATGTATGCAGTGAGGATTTTATAAATCTGTTTGTGTGTTCCTACTATGAGTATTGTGCTGCTAATTATTTCAGAACAATATTTTTAGTTATGAGGCTAAAAAGTAAAAACAAGTAAAATTATTAATAAATAGAGAATTAAAATCATATTTCCCGTTTTTCACATATTTACTGGACGCGCATCTTATTTACCGGACGGTATTTACTGGTATTTACCACTGGTAATTACCGCCACTGGTATTTACTGCCCAACCCTTGTTTAGGTGAATGTAAATGGTCACAAAGTAATAAATTGGCTCTATATACCATTCCAGACTTTAAGGCCCGAATTCACAAAGCAAGGTTTGAGCTCAGACTATGAGTGTTGTGCTGCTAATTATTTCAGAACAATATTTTTAGTTATGAGGCTAAAAAGTAAAAACAAGTAAAATTATTAATAAATAGAGAATTAAAATCATATTTCCCGTTTTTCACATATTTACTGGACGCGCATCTTATTTACCGGACGGTATTTACTGGTATTTACCACTGGTAATTACCGCCACTGGTATTTACTGCCCAACCCTTGTTTAGGTGAATGTAAATGGTCACAAAGTAATAAATTGGCTCTATATACCATTCCAGACTTTAAGGCCCGAATTCACAAAGCAAGGTTTGAGCTCAAACCTCCTTTTGTTCCGCCAAACCTCCTTTTGTTATTTACAAACCAGGTTTGTAAATAACAAAAGGAGGTTTGGCGGAACAAAAGGAGGTTTGAGCTCAAACCTTGGTCTGAGCTCAAACCTTGCTTTGTGAATTCGGGCCAAAGTGTTGACAGATTTTTTATTGCCTGTTTTATGTCTTTTTTTCATGGAAAAGCGTTTGGGAAAATTCAAAAATGGTTGGGAGAGTTTACTGTTGATCACTGTTACAGGGTGTTGACCAGTGTGTCGCCTTCTTAGAAAACCATTAATATCTTTGTGGTTTGAGAATTTTTCAGAATTTTGTGCATGTTAGAGGGTTAGTACAGTAGAAGGAAGATAATAAGTATCATTTCATACCAAAATTACGCAATTTTTTGATCAACCTTCAACAATGTTACCGAGTCACTTTAAAGTGACTAGTTTTACAAAGTCAGTAGTAACAGTGTAGTACGCCTTTACCAAAATTGGTCTAATGAAGTCTACCTACGATAGGTAAGAATGTACACTGAATTTGAAGAGAGGACATTATCCAAACTCGTGCGTACAAATCTGAAATTAATATTTAAGTTTTTTTATGGAGGGGGGGGGGGGGTATGTATGAGAGTAACTCTTACTCCACTCCATCAATGACAGAATTCTATGGTATGATCTTATATTCACCTGTAGATCAGCAGTATATACTACAGACCCAGAAACGACAATGTCATTCGTGAGGATGCCTAGACGATCTCAGTCTCTTTCAGGCAGAACCAAGAGAGCAAAGAAAAAGAAAGCAACTTGGGATGTAAGTGAGTTTGTTTTGTCTGTCAACAAGCTAACCAGACTTACGTCTGACAGTCTTTTCCAACTTGTCACTTGAGGTAATTGATGTTTGTACATGTAGGTGCATGGAGATTGGTGAACTTGTACTGAAGAAGTTGATTTAGGCTTTTAAACTTTTTTTTGCTCTAAAAATTATTCTTGAAAAACAAAACAGTCTCTTCTCAAGGTGCAGCAGAGAAATGTGTGCATGTAATTGTTACATTTTCTTTTTTTTAACAGATTGCCACACATGCTGTGAGATTGTTACTTCCATACAATTCAGTGTACGCTATTATCTTTTTATTCTAATTCTTATACAGAGCACAACCAGTGACTTGACTGTCCATAAACTCAGCAAGGATGAATTGGTAAGTTTAGTTAAAGAATAAAAGGTTGTGCTACATGTAACTTGCAATCGTATCATTTTGTGATTCAATATGGCACAGCATTTGCAATTTTTTTAAAGCATAACATGTACATGTATGCACATGGATGTTACCTGTTTGTGACCAACTTATGGCTGGTGTTGCTTCAGTATAAAGTAGTATCAAACAGAAAAAGTCACATGGAGTTCTCATGAATTTTAATTACCTCTTTCTTTCAATCGTTTATTATTCGCATAGGATCGCCGCCATGCAGTCCATCAATCCACTAATATAGACGTGATCAAGGAAGAGAAAAGGAGAAAGGCTGCGCTGAAAGGTATGTGTTTGTTGCACTAGAAATCAGTGTCATTTTATATATTTATCGTTATATTTCAGAATTCTGCTGATCTTTTGCATATATATACATCCTCGAGTACAGTTCTGATCTTTAGATTCACAGCTACTGTACATGTACATGTACAGTCATAACAGTGCCATAACAGTGTAATTACCCCCCCCCCCCCCCCTGACAATCATGCTACAACCCTCACTATGAACATGACAGACAAAGAAAGAGGACAAAATATGCAATTCCTCATTCTACCCTCAACAATTGCTGTGGTAGACAAAGGAACATCCCTTCACTGCTATTATGTAAAATAAGTAGGACAGGTGAATATGTATGTGACACCTGTTCTACACATTTTTACATAATAGCAGTGAAGGGATGTTCCTTTGTCTACCACAGTAATTGTTGAGGGTAGAATGAGGAACTGTATGTTTTGTCCTCTTTCTTTGTCCGTCATGTTCATAATGCCTGCTACAATACAGCTCTTATCCCAATAGGCTATGTTCGTAATGTATCCTAATTTAATGGATACGTCTTTGTGAAGTGCCTCGATACAAATTATTTTATTCACCTGATAAGAATAATAGTATTTCAATACCGGTTGACAGAATCAGAACTGAATACATAAGTTGTTGCCAGGTAGGACAAAAAGAATGGCTTGCCCTCCCTAGCAACACTATGCAGTTTGCATTCTGACTATTGAAAGACTATTATTCTTATCAGATGAATGAAATAATTTGTATTGAAGCAGTTCACATAGACTTGTGTATTAAATATGGTTACATTACGAAAATGCCCTAGATTTTTGTACCATCTCATGTAATGAAATGACTTTGTAGCTTTTGTTTGATATCTGCCTGACTTGCAGCATGCCTGCTTGCCTGATATAGCAATCAGGCATGTAGTAAGGTGGTGGATTACTTTACCTATTTTTATATGTGATGCTAGTGTTCTGTACTCATGCTTTTACATGTACATGTATGTGTGTGGATTAACATAAACATGCCAGAAGAAAGGATAAAAGGGCGCCTCGTGTATTGGCACTGTAGTGTCAGAAACATTAAAATTACAAATTAACCACATACTCATGTACAATATTTCCCTTTAAACTCATATTCTCCAAAACAGTATTCATATACTGTGCGTGTTATAGTGTAGGCATTAATGTACAGTGTACATGTGCATGTATGTTCAGTCAGAATTCACATTCCTCAATGTCTGACCCTTTTGACCTACAAGGACATTAGCTGACCTTGAAAGGGGCATGAGTCCCAATACATGTAACACTGTGATATATACCACTAGCCAGAACAGGGAGTGGTCACTACGTTTTGAGCCAACAGAGCATAAGCTAGGGTAGTCTGACAATAATATTTGCAAGATTGTTAAGCTTGGAGAGAAAAACAGTTGGTGAGTTAAATACTTAAACTTTTCTAATTCAATTAATAACTTTAAGTGTTGTATCTATAACTTTTCTGTGTAGTGCATTGTATTTAGGCATATATCGAAAGTGGAATTATGTTAAAGAAGTTTGTGAGAGAAACACGGGAAGCAGACGCTGAGAGGCACTATCATTTATATCTACATGTATATAATTCCTTTGTTCTTTCTAGTACTTTGCGATTAGATATTTTATCCCATGTTCCTGTGTTAAATTACTTGTCAAGTGATAAACACTGTTATACTATTTGTGATCATGCTTGTTATAAGCAATTTATTCATGTAAATTTTTACATGTCACTACTGGAGAGGTGTTTACACCCGACTTAATTTGCCTGATTATTCTTTGATTAATTAACTTAGCATTTAAATTAACGAACTGATACTACATTGTTCATTTGTAGTTCAACCATCTCCACCATCATTGATGTGCGCAATCGTCGTAGAGCAAAGGGCTCAAGAATTAAAAGACATAAATGCAGATATTGGCTGTGTTTATTTATTTGTGACGTTGCGAGAGTGAGAACGGATGCGTTTGACATTGTTTGACAATTGTTTGACCTAATTTAGTTAATGCTACAGGCACGAAGGAGAAACATGTAGACTAGGGCCTGTAAAGATGAGATAATAATAAAATAATAGTGGGGTCTTGTATAGCGCTCATGTCTGTCAGACTTGACACTCCTGGCGCTCCTGATTATTACCCTGGCTTTAGCACAGCTACCATTACGGTGCTCTAGCATTTCAAGTAGATCAATGTCTTGCCAAAGCACATTAGTGCCGTGCCGGGACTCAAACCGCGGACCTTGTGATAGACAGGCCGGTGACATATCCACTCGACCATGACACCTGTACTAGTAGGGAGTGGCAAGATAGACCGCCTGTTCTATTTTGTTAGAGATTTTGCCTGGACTGAAAAAGCAGAATGACTTTGAAGTTTGAAATGTATACACTTTAGCATGCGTTCTTATTTTGTGGTTCCATTACACTAATATCACTCTTGAGTCCCATTCACATTTCATCTGATGAATGACACCTTGAGGTACATGTACATGTAGCTTGTTGAACAGTAGTGGCCTGTAAAGAGGTGTCTGGATTGCAAATGTGAAGATCAAGGATCAGTCCCTTTCATAAAGGCTGAGTATGAGAGTATGACAATCTAGAGTTCGTATATATCTCTACTGACTTGATTAGGCTAAATGATCCTGAAATTGTTGTTACATAACTTGGATTATGATTTTAGATGCATTCATAGTAACATAACTAACATTTATGCCTTGTTTTCTTTGTTTCTTCTTCTTTTTTGTAACTACATGATCATTAGTTGTCTTACCAGGTGTACTTGCATTGTAACAGCAGTGAAAGATTGATCAATATTTGTTTTTCTTCTACTTTTCATGTTGTTTTTAAAGCTCAGAAAGAGAGATCCCTAAGTGAGGGTAACCAGGCAGGCTTGCTGCGTGAGATCCTGTACGATGAGAAACAGCTGAACGATGCCCTCGCTCACTCAGATAGAGTCATGTCTGTTGTCAAGGATCTTTTCTACGATGATCCAAAGAGATTGAAGGCTATACCTCACATCACCCGAGCACCTGGAGGAGATGCCGAGAAAAGGTAATAAATTGAATAGCTTAAGGCGTTAAAAAAAAAAGATGTATTGCCCTTTGCGACCCACCCAAAAATCTTAAAATTTACGGTCTTAAAAAAAAAAAGATTTCCGACTGACCGACCCATGTTTTGGCACCTAAAGGGCAATGCAACATCTTTTTTTTTTTAGGTCTAATGGTTGATTGCTGTCTGAATCGTCCAGGAATGAATATCATGTTTGCACCCATTTTTTTGTGACTTATCGGTTGTTTTTAATAGTCAGATCAGATAATGGGCAGTATAGTATCAATTGGGTAATTCATTGTCTATTTCATGAATTAATGAAACTATTTTCTATTGAATATACAGACGAGCTGGACCTATCGCTGAGAAAGGCCCTCACACCAGCTACTTGGATGTCTTGAGTGAATCTGTCATGGATCCATCAGCACTCAATGAATATCAAAGAGAAAATGGTGGGTGTTTCAAATACTTGTTATATATGTAACCCCTCCTACCAGGTTCTTTGGATGATTTAGAAAAGTAGGAAGCTTGTTTTTATTTAATTTGTTACAAGATTAACGTACCATTTTGAGTATGAATAGTTTTTCATGCCAAAGAGATTACTGTGTTTAGCTTCATTTTTAAAATTAAAAATTATTACGTGCTAAACCCCTTATTTTATACAGACTCTGAGGAGGAGGAAGAAACGGATGAGGAGGAGGAGGAGGATGGAGAGACACCTGTGTTTGACAGTAAGCTAGATGTTGATCGATTCCAGAGTTACATTCATAGAGCAGCCGCTCAGGTAAACGGATGTTTGGTCTAACTTGGGCACATGATTACAGTATTAATGGTGATGGCCATTGATCTTCAAATCTAGATGTTTATTGTAGAAAGATAGGATTATCTGTTATCTGCCAGTGATTTGTGTCTATGAGTTTGCTGTGAATAATGGATATTTAAAGAAGAACCTGAAATCATGGGAATTGATCTGGTAGCTTTAGTCCCAGTAATCAATTCTAACTGATGCATGATATTAATGTAAGAAATGGAGCTACTATACAGTACATTATCACTAAGCAATTGATGACCGTTCCTCGCATCACCTAAGCAATGGTTGATTGTGATTTTATGTCATCAGAGATTAACTACCTTATTTACTGTTCTTTGTACCTTCCCTTGCCATCCTCTCTCTATGCTGGGGTCGATGGCAGAGGTTGGTGTAGTGGGCAGTAGAAGAGGAGTTGCGCATTTTCACCCAAACTCACTTTTTGACTCATGTGGAGTTGAATTCTATGTGAGATTTGGTTTTGCATGTGCATACATTTTTTATATATTGTCAGTTATATATTTTGATGTACATGTATGTAATGTTAATGTCCTATTAAGACAATAATAGTAACATATATTTAGTGCTTAAATTTATCTTTGTAAGTGCTGTACTATTTTCAGCTACCTTGATAAGTAGTAGGGCTATTATTATATTTAGTAGTTTTGACTATGATACCTGTTTTGTATAATGTGAAGTGGGGTGGTGCCTTGTCTAGGTTCTGAGTTTGAGTGAATCAATATAGGTAGGCATTTGTTTAATGATAGACTCATGCAATGCACAACCCTTGAGACCTTGCTGACTTCATGCCCTTATGACATTTATGTGTTGCTTTCAAATTAGTTGGTGTGTAACATGTGCATATTTTATGTAATTGGCATTTGCGTGGGGGGGGGGGGGGGGATTTAAATCATTTATGACCTTCAGGGCTCTCCTACCATTACAGAATGTGCAAATGTGTCACTGCTTCCGGTTCTTACCTACTCTTTATAGAATTTACAATATACACATTACCTCAGTTTAAACACTTCCTGAGGCAGAAGTCAAATCGAACATTATATTCCTCCAATAAATTGAATAATTCTTTTGAATTTATGCTTTCTTTTCTTTCTTTGTACTCTTAGCAGCAGCATGAAAAGCATGATAGAATTCAGTCCAAGTATCAATCCAACAAAGAAAATATGGGTGAGTAGATAAAGGTTAAAGCATTTTTTTTTAAAATAATTATTTTGTAGCTAGTTACCTAGAACCTTGATATTTTTTTAATATGGACAATTTTAACTGAATTGAATTGAACTTTGCAAATCTGATCCTGCATTACAATATTGTTAAAATATTTCAGTGGCCAAACAGGATAATAGTTGTGTGCCTCTCTTGAAAATATATATGACATGGTTTTTCCTTGCAATCAGTCACAAGATTACCCCGGTAGTATGATATCTTGGTTAATTATGATTTAGATTTATTTACTACCTGTGATGAGTACAGGCCTATCATAAATAGCATGCATCCCTTCAAATGATTTGTACATTTCTTTATAGAATAATGTGTTATGTGGGATCCTCTTTGTGTTTCAGACCCAATAGCTACACCTGAGAGGTCTCCCCTTACCCCCTCACAACGAAATGCTATCAACGATACAGCCAAGGCTAAAAAGAAAATGAGGTCAAGGTCCAAGGCCGAAGGTCAAAGTTCACTACTAGACATCACTCAAAAAACAAAACCTGATGACCTAAAAATGGTAATTATTTTACTTCTAGATATTTATTGATTTACTTATTCATTCTTTTTATCTGATATAATTGTTTGTCTACAGTTGTTTTTTTTGGGGGTTTTATTTATTCATGAGCTTGTCATGTAAAAATTACAATGAAATATTTTTGAGCAGCGCACAATGTTTTCCTATTTGTTCAGAAGACCCATTTCTGTAATTATTAATTTTTCAATTCAATAATATCCCACACTTCTCTACTTTCAATAAGTCAAGATTTAGATTTTCTGGTTATGGATGAGACATGGAATAAGAAAATATTCATCAGATGTTTGCAAATATTGTTATGTTTGATCCTTACTGGCAAACTTCATTTACAAACATGAGTCTTTGAGCTATTTTTACTTTGCTACTAAACACGTCATAAAATATCTTTCATGGGTACAAAGTCCACCTTGCATGAACCTGTTTCAACTCAAAAGATGAGCTCTTCTGAATTGGTGTACAACTCCAGCAAAAAGAACCGTCCAATGAACAGGAATGATAACTGCACTGCACTTTGTAGAGGTGTTGTGGGCTAATGGATAAGTCAATGAACTTGCGAATGACATGGTATGGGGTTTGAATCCCAGCCCTGCATTAATGTCCTTTGGCAAGACATTAATCTACTTTAGCTCTTTTTTTACTCAGGTGTTAATGTGTACCTGATCTGGTTTAGTGCTAGTTTCTGTGGTTGCTCAACTATAGCCAGGGTCATAATATCTCAGCACCTTGAGCGTACTTTAGCCACTTTTTACTCAGGTGTTAATGTGTTCCCTGATCAACTTGAGTGCTAGTTTCTGTAGCAGCTCAGCTATAGCCAGGGTAATAGTATCTCAGCACCTTGAACGTACCTTGCCAGATACAAGTGTAAGAAGCCACTATTGCTCTTTCACTGTCCTGGGGTGTTTTACAAAGATCCGAAGTCGAACTTAACTCTAAGTTGGACTTTAATATTATGGAGAGCCATTTGAAGCCTTATAATAAAATATATTCAAAAGCAAGGAGTAAAATATTTTAGACTTTTCATAGATTTCACATCAAGAACACGAAAATCTCTTTGATAAAGAAAATATGAATGATTTGAATCAACATTTTATGCCTTTTACAATAACTTTTACAAATTTTTTTCATAGACGATAATGGCTTTCCATAATTGTTAAGTCCAACTTAAATATAAGTTCAACTTAAGATCTTTGTGAAATACCCCCCTGGTACATACCTACACATCATGTAGCATTATGTCACGTTTCTACTTGACTTCCACACAGTATCTGACTGAGTTGATGACAGCCTGCAGCGCCTTTGATAAGACCAGAGGGGAAGCAGAGACGGTAGATGCCAGTCATTCTTTCACCTCTGGTTTCCCACAGCTGAGTGGGTACACAGCTTTCTTAGTTCAGACACTCACCAAGATTCTTAAGCATCTCACTCAGGTAAGATTAAAAAAGTCCACTGGTACTGACATTTTCTCTCTAAAAACTTTTGTTTGAATATGTTTATTTCATTGTAGCATTGAAAATTTACCTATTTGGAACAGAGCATTATAATGTATCATTAAGAGTCATATGCTATGGAAAGCAAAGTAATATTAAAAAGGTGAATTTTTGACATAAGTAAATAAACAGGACAATGTGTTTATAAGATGATAAAGAGACTTTGTGCTGTGTTATGGTATAAATGCTCATTACATTTTTGTAAATTAAGGAGAGTTGCAAATTTGTAATTTAGATATGCCACTTAATTTTGTTATGATGATTTGTTCATGCATTGGCAGTGTATGCTTGAGTATCTGAAATTGATTTGAATTGTAAAGCATGTACCTTCTTATTTAACCATCCTGTTTAGAGTGAAACTCGGCTTGACCAGGAGAGAGAAGCAAGGCGTGGACTGGAACAGGAGATAGCTCAACAGAGGAAGCTCATTGATGCCATGACTGTTGTAAGTACATATGCAATGGTAACATATATTTTGTTTATACCTGGCATAATATTTTATTTGTAAATATTTAGTGACAAGGGCATGGGGGTTCTTATGTGTACTGCATGTCAGTTTACTCACAGTATACTTAGTGGAAATCCTATTTTCTGAGTTGACAAAAACATCCTGGTCACTATTCCATTTGTTCATGAAAAGAATATGGAGGTGTTCACTCGATCAAAAGGGTTCATATTTCAGCCTGGCACTGAGGTCCTTTGGCAAGACATCTATCTATCTATATTTGCCACTCTTCACCCAGGTGTAACTAGGGTATCCGGTATGCACGTGCACAACATAGAGGGTTGCTTGGCTATGACTTGGGTAATCAGGAGCGCCATGGCCTAACCGACTCCAGCACTGTTCAAGAAGTGACCATTATTAAGATTTTTTTTTTATTGGGGGGGGGAGGGGTGGGGGGGATTGTTAGCTTTCTAAGTGTAGAGAGAAGTCTGGAAGTATTTTTGCATTATGTTTATTGAATATGTTATCTGGAGAAATTGTAGGCCTATATATATCATGCTTCCATCAAGACTCTATACACTGTCTATAAAAAGATTGACTGCTCTAGATGGAGTTGCCAGCCTTACGCCTTGTTTATTCTGTTGTTCAGGACATGATGCAGTCTCAAGAACTGAACATCAAGATCCAAGCTGAAGCTAGGAAACAGATTAATCAGATGGAACAGAGACTACAGATTGTAGAGGTAAGACGTCATCACCGGTGACAGTATGAACAGCATCCTCGTTCAGAGAGATCCAGCAGATATTTTCTCCAGTTATTGATTCATGATCATGGGATACAGTTAACAGACCTGCCAACCAGTATGATTTAGTACGATTTTTAGAAGCAAATACGACAGTACGATTTTCCTTATTAAAATACGATTTTCAAAAAAAAAAAAAAAAAAAAGATTCTTTTCTTTTCTTTTTTTTTTTTTCTTTTTTTTTTTAAATATTTTTTTTAAAATTAATATTTTGTGTGTGCGTCCGCCATTTTCAATGGCAAAATGTCCATTCTTTCCTGTAAAGTATCCTTCAAGCATATCACATCGGCAATTTGGAGATGTTCATTGGTTCATGGAACACACCAGTCATTACGAAATCATGCATATTCAACCAATGATCAATAAAAAAAATTCTTCCTGTAGGTAGAAACTGTAAGAGGCATTGGTCCGCGTAACAATTCGCGTTTATTTTCTAGAATACAACTTTTGTCAGTAAAATACAACTTTTGGGACTAAAGAATACAGTTTTTGAACTCCAGAGGTTGGCAGGTCTGAGTTAAGGGATAGATTTGGGCCACCAAGATGCAAGAAACATTGGAATGGGGCTTCATAGGTAAACTATACACATGTACACACACTTTCAAAGTAGAAGACTTTTCTTTTGGTAATCAAGAACTATATCTCTCCCCTTTCCAAGAAGATTGAGTAGTAATATTTATCTGAGTTGTATTGTATTTTCTTATTTTGTTCTTTGCAGCACTTGCTGGTCAACAGAGAATTTCTAGAGGAAAAGGTGTCGCCACCTACGGCTGGAAAAGATAAGGAAGGTATGTTTGATGTTTCAGACCTTTCTGAAATCTCACATTCACTGACACTGTATCGTCAATAACCCCATTACAAGCTGCATAAAGTGAGCACCTACAGGCTTCGTGATATTACATACTGCTACAAAGAAACAAGCAATATTTAGCATTGGCAAAAAGATTACTAGGGACGATAGAGTTGGGGAAGGCCATAGTATTATGTACTCTTAAAATGCATGAACCTATATCAATGATTAGAAGCATGGCTCAGTGGTTGAGAAGTGGCTTTGGACTGGCAGGTCCAAGGTTGAAACCAAGCAGAAGTACTAGTGCCCTTTTCTACCCGGGTATTATTCCTCAATTCCTCCATGTTCCTTGGATAGGACCAAAAACTGTCAGTCTCCTGATAAACTGTTTACAAGGATACTTTCTTTATTGACAGTCAGATAGCTCGTCCCATGATAGTAAGGTATCTAGCGAGTCAGATGTCTCTATCGTACCCATTGCACTTTGTGTATATTGATTGTGTTGTTCATCAGTATGCATACAAACAAATCTGTCTTGGTTCAACAAAAGTATTTGTGCTTCTCTTTATATGTATCTACTTACTGTTCAGCTGTATTGTTTGGTTAACGTTTGCATTTGTATTTTGCAGATATTCCAGAGCGAGGTCCAGGTTTTAGTCAAGATCCTGCTGTGTCCAAGCCAGTGTCAACAGCAACCACAGTTCATTTAACTACTTCAAATCAGTTCAAAACAGTCCAAAACAGTGGCCTTAATACTGGATCTTCTACAATGATTTCATCAGCTCTAGACTCTTTGCAAGCCACCCCCTTGACAAAATCCACACTGCCAATCAAAAACGCAGGACATATAGTGTCAGGAGTGACTGGGGCTCAATCTAACACCTCCCAAGTACAGTTCACAACAACTACCTCATTAGCTACTTCAAGAAACGTTTTCAAAAGTACTACAGGTACAGGACACCAGGTCGCTTCTGGTCATCAAGTTCCTCACTTAAGCCAGCACACCATGGAGAGATTGATGTCCTCTCGCCCTGGACAGGGGAGAGGTAATGTACACTTTGAGGGGAATCTCAAAAATATTCAAACCAATGTACCTAGTGGAATGCAAAGCAGTCGGTTATTACAATCGGGTGATGACCAGAGAGCTATGGATGGGATTGGTAGTATGTCAGGGTTTGGTGTGTCATCGATGATGTCTTCAAGTGTGCTGAAAGGTACAGATCCTAGATCGCAGGGGAGCGGAACGTTTAAACAAGTGCCTGGTGCTTTTACCGGCTCAAGACAGCAGACAGATACCTTGACAACCTCTTCTGGTCAGCATCTCCGTCCGATCCAGCCTGCAATGCTGCTGTCTCCACCCAGGCAGAAGGATAGGAGAGACTTTATCAAGCCACCTGGCTACCAGTCTCAACCTCTCATGAGTGCACCGTACGGCATCACCCCTGGGGCAATCACCTCTACAAACATTGGCTCTAACCTGTCTGGTGGCCTGAAGGGATCCACCCACCAACCTCAAGCTGTGTTCTTCGGCAGTAGATCACAATTCTCTAATGACCCAAGTTATGCAGTGAGGAGTAGTGATCCCATAAACAAATCAAGGCATCCTCCACAAGCTCCGCTCCTCAACAACTACACCCCCAACCCTGATGGCCAGAAGGAAGGAGCACCTTCGACCATATCCATGGACAGCTCATCCACTCGATACCTCTCCCTTCCAGGAAACCATGGTGAAACCAATGTCGTCAAGAACATTCTACAACAGGGAGCCTCCGACACCACCAACAGACACCACCCATCTCATGTGCATCCAGACAGGGTAGGACCGAACGGGCAAGACCGCCAACATCAACAACTGTCAAGGAATGTGCATCCCATTGCCATGGAAACTGTCTATGAATCATCCCTAGATGGCACGGTAGAGCCTGCTGGACGAGAGGACAACTCTGTTGATATGAATGAGAAGATAGCATCCCTGTCTAGACAGCGGGTAGAAGCTCAGGCCAGACTGGAGCATCTCAAGGATGTGTATGGTGGAGAGGACGGCATGACTGCTCCTCAGAGACCTACTACCAGTGGAGGAGAAGCTACAGACCGAAGGATCTCTACCAAACCTACAGGTATGTTATCAGTCTCGACTAGCATCTGAATATGGCACATTTTTCCTTTAAATCCTGTCTACACTAGTTTATCCAAGAGGGATTAGACCTCCCTGCAATGTCCCTGACAGGTGGATATCTCATCAAATCAGCTCTCAATTAACATAAGAAAAAGTGGATCATTAAGGACCAACAGTCACCGATTAGACATTGTTTGATATATAGAGGGCGCAAGTAGCTATATAAGTAGTGCAGTGAGGCTTTAAAAACTTTATGTGATCCAATGATTCTTTCTATCAGGAGATTCCAAATTTGCTACCATTTATCTTTGACTAATAATGGTGTAAGTTTTCTTTAGATCTGTAAAATGCTTTATGTTGTTGTCCTTACCAGAACTGAACATTAGCTTCAAGTTATCAAATTATTGTGGCCTATAAAATACCATTCTAGCTCATACATGTTTAGACAGCGATTAGGTGAGAATTTTGTACATGTTTATTAAATTTGCACACATCATTTATATAAATGTATAAACATCACTGCTCACCGTGTGATGGACAAGCTGGAGCATTATGTGCACGTAACCATTCCCAGTGACCTGTGATAATTCAAAGAAAAAATACTACTACGAATTCACAACTGATGGTTGTTCCCATATTTTCCACTATCAGGAGTGCTGATTGGAGCTTCACCCCCTGTTTCACCTATTGCAAGAGAGGTGCCATCACAGAGACCCATGCCTACAGGAACATCACATGCAGCATCAGAGGGAAGGACCATTCATGTATCTATGCCAAAGCTTAGTGAGCTTGAAATCTCTGCAACAAGTACTCCTGCTTCCAAAAGGTACGACTTAGATCATTATCAGTTATACTTAATCTTGGGCTCCATATAGTGGGACTAGTCACTGTAAGTCCACTATCTCATACCTCTAACAACAGCAAAGCTTTAAAAAACTTTGCAAAAAATTACAATTTTTTTTTTTTCCGTGAAATGCTTGGCCATGCCAAAAATGTTAGATTCATTTCATTTGATTAGCTGGTAGTTTTTGTGATGCTGTGATAAACATGTGACATTTGTATTAAAATAAGAGAAAGAAAAAATTTGAAAGTACAGTGGAAACTCGTTCTAATGAAGTCCTTGGGACCAAGGAAATTATTTTAGGGTAACAAAACAAAAGAATATAAAGAGCTGGGACCAGCAAAATCACCTTGTTATAACAGATACCTCATTCTACTGTATCGGGGGGGGGGGGGGGGGGGGGGGGGGGGGGTGTTTTTCATAAAGCTGTTCATAACGTTACGCATGACTTTACGAACGACTTGTATATGAAGTGCCAGATAGGACGCCCAAAGATTTTCCTGATGTTTTAACAAAGTGTGACTATATTTCCAATAACCTCAATTAAATTATGGCAAAGAAATATACTTTGCATTAAAAATATTTTTTATGATAAGAATGTTAATCTACATCTGCACAGTTCAACTTTAGTTGATGCAGTTAAAAATGATTGAGCATCCCATTTGGCTTTTCATACATGTATGTAATTCATTCGTAAAGTCATGCGTAACTTTACGAACAGCTTTATGAAACACCCCAAGAGCTCTTTATACTGAGGTTCCACTATACATAAAGTATCTAGATTAAGAAGAAAAAAACCTTATCATTAATTAGACTTTCTCTCTTGAATTCATTTGCAAGATACTTTTAGTTTTTTTTTTTTTTTTTCTTCATTTCTAAAATTTGCAATAGCTCCTATCTTTTAACTCTGAGGGTTGTATGATCTTGTTGAAATATTTATTTGTATTACCAGAATGGTCAATTGCCCCAATTTTGTTTTTGTTGTTGTTGAAGATTTGAATGTTGATATTTAAAACTTAATTTCTGTATAGGTCATCCATTGGAAGCGGTGGTCCCTCCCCGGGCATCAATCAACATGACTGGAAAACTCCCCTTAAGGTATGGTCATTACTCTTATCTTATTATTTCTTATCTCCTTGTTATCTGTTTTTACTCTGTCTGTCTTTCTTTCTCTCTCTCAGCCTGTCTGTCTGTCTCTCTGTCTGTCTCTGTGTGTGTGTGTCTCTCTCTCTCTCTCTCTGCCTGTCTGTATGTATATCCCTCTGTCTCTCTGTCTCTCTCTCTCTCTCTCTCTCTCTGCCTGTCTGTATGTATCTCCATCTGTCTCTCTGTCTCTCTCTCTCTCTCTCTCTCTCTGCCTGTCTGTATGTATCTCCATCTGTCTGTTTCCCACCGTCCTCTCTCTGTTATATCCAGTCCTATCATTTTCTCTTTGTTTCATAGACTTGCAGTATTTCCCAGTTTTTACTTCATAATCTCATTTGTAGATTGTCATAAATATTAAGGTCTCTTCTCACCTTATTTATATCTTGCTACATCTACATGTATTTCTCAGCATCCAAATCTAAACATATAAAACTTCCCAGATACTCTGATTTTAGTCACTTTTTTTATTTTTGTTTTCTTCAAAGCGGTTTCCACTTGTTTTTATCGTATTCAAAATACAATGGTCTCAAAAATGTTGTGAATTGTTTGTACATAGATGTTATATGCATAATTAGATGCAGTTGATGAAAGATAATACAATGGACATTTACAACCAAACATAGGCTACCAAAATGAAATTGATTATTCAAAGAAAATATTTACATCTTATTTGTTTTCAGAATTCACCAGAGAAGGAGCAGTTCTTTGCACTCAAGGCCCACATCTCAACCTGATATCATAACTGGAATCATCCCTAGACTAGAGCTTGTTATCCATGCTGCTCTCTATGATCTCATCTCTCACCAGGGGGGTGCTTCATAAAGCTGTTCGTAAGTTACGCATGACTTTACAAACGACTTATATATGAAAAGCCAAATGGGATACTCAATTCTTTTTAATTGCATCAACTAAAGTTCAACTGTGCAGATGTAGATTAACATGCTAATTATAACAAACATTTTTTAGTGCAAATTATATATTTTGCCGTCATTTAATTGAGGTTACTTGAAATATAGTCACACTTTGTTAAAACATCTGGAAAAACTTTGGGCATCCTATCTGGCACTTAATATTGAAGTTGTTTGTAAAGTCATGGGTAACATACAGACAGCTTTATGAAACACCCCCCTGGTCCCTGTTTCATAAAACTTGTTTTCAATATTAAACAAGGTAAAATGAAAGCTACTGAAATCCTTACATTAGATTGGCTAGGATCACATTCGTCATAGAACTGTGGCAGTTGTTATTGATCAAAAGTTTTACGAAACGGGGCTCTGTTTCATCACCCCAAAACTGTTGATTTCCAGTCATTTTGTCAGAATTTGAACTATTCAGTTTAGTGGCTGCAGCACAGATTTTGAACAAGTACATACCTTTATAATTAATAACTCACTCAAGTTTGACCAGACATGTGACCAGGTAACTTTACACAATTAATAACATTTCACTATGCAGTGCAAGGTCTGACTTTGCCATTACTTTTAAAAGATGCATGACACTTGCTAAAATGGTTATGTCGCTCTCTGGGGCATTTGCGTGGTGTTGTAGATTGTGGTAGTGTAATCAAATGGCCTGTCCTCCATACTAAAAAAATGGGGGGATATGGGAGGGGGGAAGAGAAAACAAGTAAAGATTTCTCTTCCGCTGCTCTTTTGTATTTAGATTCCTCAGTCATTTCCTAACTTTGCATACATGTATTTCCCATTATTTGTTGTAACACCTGTCTAATGATTATCCTTTGTGCAAGTAAAAGTTTTGTGGTTGATGTGTCCACCCAAAAGAAGAACAAAGAAAGGAAATTATTTATACACTCCACTGTATGTACTTCTGAGATCCATTACATGGCTTTGAAAAGATGATTGTCAATAATGCTTATACTCCTACAATGAATTTATGAAAGTAATATTTCCAGAAGTGGTATAGTTGTCTCTAGAATAGTATAGTCACACAGGGTATGATAGTCCATGGGGTAGTCATCCTAATACAGATGCTGCCCTCTTTAGGTCATGCATGCAAGTACTGTCTCGCCTACAAATTATATAGAATTACATGTATATGTATTAACAGGCGCGTATGCATTGGGGGGGGGGGGGGGGTTGGGGGTTGAACCCTCAAACCCTCCCTCCCCTCAAAATTTACCAGGTAAAAAAATGGATGACCAAACAGATGACCCCCCCCCCCCCCCTGCTAGTCAACCTTAACTGCTTTCTACATATCATGTGTACATTTATGTTTTATGTACTTGAGAATTAAACAAATTAATTGTTGATGTTTACTACTGCATGTGATGCATATAATATGTGACCAGTCGCGTCAAAAGGAGACGGAAGTTACATTTTTTCAAATTCTATTTTATAATCGATTTTGATTTTCTGTTTCATAAGCTTGGATTCGATATAAACTAAACTCTAGAGAGGGAATATTATAGGAGATAATAACCTTTAGACTGTGAGAGGAATAGGGTTTTAAAAAAGTACTTTTACAAGAAAAAATGCTGCCAATGGTTGAGTTGCGTTTAGTCTTCAAGCTTTAGGAATTTTACTTTTACTTTCTATTTCATTTTGGCTTTTGTGTGCTTCTTCTTCATGGCTTCCCTGTGTGCATTTCATGCTTTCTGTGCTGCTAACAAATTGAGTTCCTTTGCCCTTCGCTTTGCAACTAGTTTAAGTGAAGGGTCAATTCTCTGAATAAACTTAAAAATTGGATTTCTTACAACAGCTTGACATGCAGATATATTCACATCTGCAAATGATTTACTTGCACTAGAGTGCCTAGGTATATGTAAGAGCATCCTCATATCATCATTATAGGCTACCATAAGCTTCTGTATACTGCTCTTTTTATACCTACTCCAAAGATGTGCAGTATATAACTTTCTGCACAACTTGTATCTATATCATCACACAGGTCTTCAGTAAAATAACGACTTAGGTACTTGGCCTCTTTACAAATATCAAGTTTAGCACCACACAAATACAAATTTGGAATTTCCAACTTACAATTGATTGATTGATTGATCAATGTACTAGCACTTCCAATTACATACATATACATATAAATCTTCCCATACCTACAGTATCCAGCAAAATGTTGTGGCTTCTTTCTTGCCGCGGGATCTTGAACTATTTCGTTCAGTCGAACTAGTTCATCGAATGAGCTGCATGGAAGGTTTGGAAGCCCGGCCTCTTCCTCATCAGCAGCTGTGCGTAATCCTCCCAAATTTGCCTCAGCAAGCAATTGCAGTACTTGTGACAGCATCTGCTCTTGCCTGTCTTGTTTCTGTTTTATCGCCTCCAAGGCAGCAAACATCCTAGTCATAGCTGCAGTCAAGGGTGTATTTTCCTCTGATGTTGAACTTCTAACAGCTCCTGGGGTCTTATTGACTCTAAAAGTATTCATAGATGGTAGTGGATTTTCCTCTGCAGTTGAAGTTCTGGCTTTCAATTACCTACTAATCTTCCCATGCCTACAGTATCCAGCAAAATGCCTTGTCTTCTTTCTTGCCGCGGGATCTTGAACTATTTCGTTCAGTCGAACTAGTTCATCGAATGAGCTGCATGGAAGGTTTGGAAGCCCGGCCTCTTCCTCATCAGCAGCAGTGCGTAATCCTCCTCCCAAATTTGCCTCAGCAAGTAGTTGCAGTATTTGTGAGAGCATCTGCTCTTGCCTGTCTTGTTTCTGTTTTATCGCCTCCAAGGCAGCAAACATCCTAGTCATAGCTGTAATTAGGGGTGTATTATCAATATCATTTGGATCCAATTCACAATTCAATTCATCATTATTAACACATAATATATCCTGTGTGACATTATCAGAAACACTGGAAATGTTCGCCATCGTGTCAAAGTCAATCATTATTTACAGATAAAATTATGAATGTACATCAAGGCAGAAGCATACTAGGCCCTACTTAATTTTGTTGAGATCCTCTTCTCGATGGGTGGCTATCGGTGGCATATTGGGGTTCTTCCTCACCAGGATGGTGCCATTCACAGTCCACAGGAATCTCCAGCCAGCCTTCTTCCTTTCCTCATTCACCTTCCTCAGTAGTGACCTCGTTGCTGGGGCAAGATTTTCGTTGATGAACATCATCCTCTCATGTCTTGAGAAGCCCAGCTCCCGAGTAGTTGTCTCCCGCAGCTTCTTTCGACCAACATACACTATATCTCTCATCCTCCTGGTTGTAAATCGCACTATGATTAGTCTTGGACTTGAACCAGAAACACCTTCCCTCTTACGGCCTAGACGACGGGTTACATCAATGTCGGTGTAGTTCACCTCTGGTGCAACCACCTTCAACACTTTCAATACAGACTCCCTCGCCTTTTCACCTTCCTGTTGTGACACACCCGCCACTTCCAGATTAATTCTCCGATGGTACTGATCAAGGTCATTCACTTGATCCTCTAGTGCTGTCAACTTTTGCTTTAGATCCGCATTTTCCCTCTTTACAGACTTGTTGTCATCCTTCAGCCTCTTAACGTCGTTTATCAGTTCGTCTACTCTCCCGCTGAAGAACTCTGATCTTGAACTTCTAGCAGCTCCTGGGGACTTATTTTTTCTCGGCAGTTGAAATTATGGCAACGGTGACTGGGAACTTATTGGCTCTTGCAACTGGAGGACGTGGTGGTGTTGGGAAATTTACTGTTGCTTTGTCATTTTCAGAGATTGTGTCACGACTGTCATCAATCATCATTTCACAGTCAGCGTCGTCCTCTATGCATCTTGAAGGCATCTTCCTCTTCCGCTTCCTGAAGCTCAAATCATCCTCAGAATCACTTGGATTACTGGTTACGACCAATTTAGAGCACCTTTTATTGGCACAATCCATGACTGGTAATTAACTTGAGAATTGTAGCTAGAAGTTTTTTTTATTTTAATGATATTTTATTTCCTTCCTCACAAATTCACATTACAAGAAATTATCACAATAAGTAATATAAAACGAGATCTATGATACATAACATTTCATGAATTACATTGATCAATGAACGACATAGAAAAATCTCAGATTATACATGATTGTACATTTTTTCTTTCATATAACAGTTTATGATTAAAATAGCAATAGAGGAAGGTTTGAAGATACATAGTCCCATCCTATCACACTCTCTCACACCAACAAACTCATGACACCCCCACCCCCCCCCCCCCCCCCCTCTAGCACACTCACACCACACACACACACACACACTGACCACACAATCTTTTGCTCTCTCTTTCTAAAATCACACACTTTTGATTGATACACTTCCGGTTTTCTCTTTTGAAAGTTGACTTTCTTTTGTGTTTACTCTCTACTTTCATCCAACGGCGAGGTGAAGTGGAAAGAGCTGCATCAAATCTTTTGTTTAATGATTATCTTATCTCCGCTCTAGTTATCTTGGATCTTTAGAAGACCAAAAAAAAAACAATGATCTGTTGGTGTCCCCTGCCATTATTCTCTCTTTAAAAAAATACTTGTTCACAATCTCAATACCATTCCTGGTCCTCTTTGAAATCCTTTCTTTTCCCTCCACTTTTTGAAAAGAGCTATATAATGTCCCTTGTTTAAGATTAAGAGTTAAAATACCCCCTGGTCAGACAATCTTTTGTTCTCTCCTAAATGACAATAATGAAATCTTGCCACGTTTCCTGTTCTTTCTTTTAGTTGTCTTTTGTACCTCCTCTTTACTTCTATCAAACAGCAAGGTGAAGCTAAAAACGTTCTCCCAATGAATAGACCTTTTGTTTGTTGATTATCTTTTCTTCAAAGTTAATCAAAGTTGACCTTTATTCATCCATTAATTTACAGCTCTTTTGAAATGAACGAAAAAGAATAGAAAGGTGGCTTTTTAAAGGAGAGAGAAGCAATGTTTCAATTCTTATTTTTGTACAAGCG